ATGCACACGCATAACCAAACCATCATGCCGGCCCAAATATCTCGGCTTTCCGCCATGCCAACCAACTGGCCAAGCTCCTGGAGTCCGTAGGTAGCGTTGGTAACATAGATACCATCCACGACGCTTTGCCATGAAGGAGCATCAGCGACAAAGCTTTCGTTAAACATCAATGTGGACCATGCCATCTGACTGACGATAGGTTGATAAAAGCCGGGGTAGTCAAGCGTCAGACTACCACTCAGTGCAATGAACTGGATATACTGAAGACAATCGCCAAATCCAGGGGTAACGAGGCGGAGCAAGTCGACGTCGCGTCCGTAGTTGGAGGTCCAGTGGAAGACATCGGTCGAGCCCCAGGGGCTGAAGATGGCCGAAAAAGTAACTGCGAAACCTGTGAAGAGCAACACAATCATGGGTAGAAACTTGAGCAACCATGAGAGACCCCCGAGATCTGGAGTTATGGCCATAGAAACGCAACCGATCTGTGGGGCATCCTTAGTGCCGTCAACAATGGACATGCTTGGTGCAAGGGATGCAAAGGCATATGATGCATATGCGTCCCAAGTGATATTGATGGAAGGCAGCTTGTACGCATCACTGTGGATTTTGGTTAGTCTGTTGCCCATGAATGAACGCCTGGTGTGGTATACACATACCTGTAATCGACTTCTCCAAAGTAGGGACCAAGGGGGCATGTACCGTTGACCAACGAAGTATTACAGAAATTAAACCTGTCATTGTACGGAGCATAGGTCAAGAAATTCACCCTTGGGAAGTAGGTCGTCGCAGTCCGGTAGCCGCTTTGGGGGAGCTCATCGATTTTGCCATTGATGTTATCGTCGTTTTCCCAGGAAGGATCACCAGGTGAAGGCAGTTGGCTCGTCGTTCGAGCACCTGTGACATTACCCCACACGATGACACGGAGATTGTGCTTCTCGTCCTCGATATCGAATACAGCATCGGCATATAGGGGGACCCATTGTAGTCGTGTCGGTTCGTGCAAACGGTAGGCGTCGCTGAGGCAGTTTGTAAAAGGAATCCTCACGGCATAGGCGGGCGATACAACGTGCAGGGCGATGAGAAGAGTGACTAATATACTTTTGGAGAATTGCGATATCGTACTATGTCGAGAGACCCATGCCCTTTGTCGAGGGGCAACTTGTGACATAATTGTGGAATGTCGCTGCTGTTGATGTGAGTGATTAGATGAATCTACAGTGGCGAGAGCATCAGGCGCAGAGCCAGAGAATGAGTATTTCGATGGCCGTGCCACATGTCGCCTCCCAGGCAAGCCTTGGGCGAGGTCGTGATAACGTGTGCGAAGGCAGCAATCGACGAGTTGTTGACCGGCCAGACCAGGCTGCATAGCTCCAAGGTTATGTTATCTAGAAAGCTGAGATAATCAAGATTGGGTTGCCGACAGGGACTAGTAGCCCAAGGCGGATGGGAGAGGTTGAAGCTATCAGGGCGAGAGCAGTCGAGTTAGATCGGATCGGGATGTTCGTGGTGGCTCAGACTGAGATCATCTTGGTTGTCGAGGAAGGGTAAGCCGACGGATGGTTTGAGACCAACCAGCAAACGACGGATGCAATTCTCGAAACGGCAGCGGACGGTACGTTTTAGACGACCACGGATCAGATCAAATGGCGAAAGCTACTAGAGCTACCTAGGTAAAAGGATGCTGATAGAGACTACTTGAAACACAGGATAGAGAAGCGAAGCGAAACGAAATCGAGCGATGGATGGGATGGAACGTGAACGAGCGAGCGAGTGAGTGAGAAATTAATCCAGGTTGATGAAGGATGGTGAAAAAAGAACAAGATCAGATTAAGCAAGGGAAAAGGCGAAAAGAGAAGGAAAAAAAGGGTAAAAGGTAAAGGGACCCAACAACCAGCCAGCCCCAGGTGGTGTGCTTGTGCTTGTGCTGTGTGCTGCGCTGTGCTGTGCTGTTGCGCGTGTGTCAGTTCGGCGTGTGTGCCTTGATCCTGAACGGGCTGTGATGGGGTTTCGTTTTCTTTTTTGGGGGGCCCGGGAAAAGAGATGGAGCAAGAGCAAGTGGGAAAATGTAACGGGGAACCGACCATAACAAGGGTGTTGCCTGATCGGGTCAGAGTACCTGGTACCTACTTCTAGTCGGGGCCTCCTCTGCACGCTAGAAGCAGCCTGTAAGAATCCCCTTAAAACAGGACTGGTGAGGTCCTGTATGACGGGTGGAAGTGTTGACGATCCCCCTGTAAAGATCTACAGCAAGTGGGTTGTCCTTTTACGTGTTGCGTGTATCACCTCTTTTTCGTCAGCTCGCAGCTCGGTAACTTGATGAGAACATTAAAAAATGAATTATTAACCATCTTTCCCTTGAAGTGCAATAAGCTCAGCCCAAATCAGAAAGAAAAGTCGACACCTGGCCTCGAGTGAGATTTTGTGGAATGAATAAAAGGGTCGGTTTTGGTGCTAGCGAAGCTGGGTCACTGGGTGTTGTGGCTGGGTCGACGCTAAGAGTCCTATCTTTATCTCAGGTCATCTTGGATCGAGCCATGGATGTACATATGCTTATCAGGAGAAGAAAAAGGTAATTATTGTGCAATCAAGGTAATAAGATCAACCATAGCCTAACAGGTGATTTTATAATACACCTAAAACCTAATGTTCTAATTGCCTCATTATCCACCTACTGGTCTCTTGATTGTACCATATACCAGCACATAAATTCAAAGTCGTGTTGTTGCTGGAGCACTGAAGTGAGCTGAGCTTTGGAAGTACCCGGTACTTGTTTCCTGCAATTCTCGTAAAACAAATTCCCCTCCAATCCCAATCTGCGCTAGCTTGTGACGTTTGGTATAAAACGTCATGGCGTGCGGCTTAGATTCAATCCGAGATGGAGTTTCCATTTCTACGGGCTACTAAAACGGGCAAAGGCCGTCCGTACAGCTTCTTGTTAGTCGACATTTTTTCTTTTTTTTTTCCCTTTTGAATGCCGTAAGAATACTTCTTCATCGTAGTATCTATACATCTCATGAAATGATCATCATCACTCTGATTATTTTATTTATCGACAGGATCTGGATTAAATTAGAATATTACAATACAGTGTTAATTGCAATCCTCGTTTAGAAGCCAGGACATGCAAGGAGTCCTTCTCGGGTCAGCCACAGCCACGATGGAACGAAGCACATATTACTAGCAAGTCACATTTTTACTGTGCCCTTTTTCTCTCTCATTCTCATACAACGTTGTATATAATGCCAGGCTCTATATATAAGCCGCCCAGTTGCCTATCTTGAGACACTCCATTGGACGCCATCTCATGTCTGCTTACCACTTGCTACACTGGAGGCGCATTGGGAACCATCGCCATTTCTCAGCCTAGCCAGCTGAATTCATGAGATATGAGCAAGCAAAGCAACATGTGAGTCATGATAACATAAAATCAAACATCATGCGTTTCTTCTAGTGCCAGTCGGCTCACTCCTTTCTTTCTGTTTTTTTATGCAGACCAATTGCAGATACGAGCCTGAGCTAGAACCGGCACTGGAACTGGAACTGGAACTGGAACTGGAGCTGATGACAATATGAGCATTGACAATTCCCTTCACATCTTGGCGACCCTTTTTCTTCACATTGGATTGGCCCTATCCACATGCGCTGACCGTTTATTTTGGCAATCCTAGGGTTGACTAAACTTAGTGCCAAAGTTTATAGGTAGGTGCACTAGCTGGGGGCTATTTTGAGAACCAACTAACATGGGTCTGTCCATCCATCATCCCATGCACTCTCCTCCAACATGCCCGAAAGTTTTATTATTCACCAGATCTACTCACTAAAAAATCCATGCACAGTACCTGAGCACCTTGACAGGTAGGTAGTGGAGGATGAGTATATTCGGGGAATATCCAGTCTTTCTTATCAATATTAAGTCTTCTTATCCAGTTGCCTCATTGCTGTTTGAGAGATATTTTTCATAGTTGCCAGAAATCTGGTTTTATTGTACTCTGCACAGTTAGTAAGTAAGGCAAGTAGGTACTTGTGTATCCATCCCTCCATCCAACCTCCACTCCATCTCTATTCATCCATATCCCCGGCATTTTCTAGCAAATTCCAGGCCTACAGAATCCTTCCCATGTCAATAATTCACACATTAATGCGCTGCTAGAAACTACGTACAGAGACAAATGTCGGTTATGCCATCATCATTATTATCATCATCATCATAAGGTTCCATCAACAAACGATATCTCCAGAGGTCCCCTAAAAGCAGATCAGACCCTCATCATCAACGACACCCTTTTGGGCTAGACTGGCACAGTCTCAGCATCACACCCAACCCTGAACAGCCACCAACCTAACCGTGGCATGACACTTCTTGATATCGTGTTTTCTTTTACCATGGTGTGCAGTACAGTGCCTCGTTCTTCAAGCATGAGTCCCCAAAGAGCCACACGGCTGGCGTACGGAGATCAGCATATTCGATCATAGCTTGCCTTGCAAATCCTCGACCGTATCACTCGACTTGTAATGCGCTTGATGATGCTTATACATGCTCAAAAACACCGTAGTGACCAAAACGCTAGTTGCTCTCATGAACTATCGCATTCCCGATCTCATCGATGCCACTCATCATCAATTTGAACAACTCCCGTGTCCATACCCTATAGAAGCGTGTATGCTCTACATACAACCCGAGAACACTCCAGCCATGTTTCAGAATTGGCCCGCGGCTCCCGGCATGTCACTAACTAGATCGGGGTGCTTTGTCTTGGATTCAAACATAATTAGCCTCAGCCTTAGTTCCATTATTAAGTTGACTATCTACGTAGCTTCATATCTGTCCTTGGTCTTCTTAGTTAGTCGTTTAGTCGTATAAGCAATCTCCGCAAGCAAGCACCTTTCTTCGTCTTCCCTTCTTCATTGACCCGTGGTAATCATAAAACCCGAAAAAAATTAGCGTCGTGAAGCTTCCACGGTCAGGCATATGCCGTTGGGGCCTTAGCCAGGAACAAATGTTACGCTTTCGATTTGCCCTTCGCTCCAGACCGCAGCATGTACTCCACCACAATTGATGAATCCCCGCTCAACCATGATTCCGTGGCATGCCTCAACAGCTCCTCCAATTTGTTCACTTCCGCCATGTCGTCGAACCGTATGGCAGAATACTGCTCAGCTGCTCGGTCTGACTTCATAAATTCCAGAGTCGCATGTATGAGCTCGCTCATTTGAATCCTGGCCTTGGTGGACAGATTCACTGTGAGATCGACTTGAGGAATCGTCTCAAGTGGGAGCTTCTTCGACGCAACACGTTTCAGCTGTCCTCCTCCTGTACGGATGCGTTGTCTTTTGATGAGAAGGTGCCTAGGGTCTGGCTCTTCGTTCGCTGAAGTTGCGTTGTCTGAGTCATGTCGTTGCCGTTTGGCTGGCCTCGGATTGACCTCTCCATTGTATGAATCTTGACTATGGTCCAGCACTTGGTAATGCTCATTTTGAGTCTCATTGTCGAATTTCTCTTCTCGTGGCGGCGGCGTTCTCATCAACAACGCTTGTATGGAATGGGACCAGTGGACGTTCTGTTGTTCACTGGCCCCATCAGGAGGTGATTGACTCTGTGTCTCCTTGCCAGACAGCCCAGGCTCTACATAGGCTTGGGATAACAGTTGTCCTTGGCCAGAAGGCTGCTAACCTTCCTGGTCTTCGGAATTTGCGTTAACGTTGTGTAACCAGTCCTTCAGATGTGCGTCTGAGCTGTTGCGACTGGTCGGGGCATTTCTGCGACCGGCCAATCCGTTTCCACGCCCAACCTGTTCAGATCGACGTCTGTTGTAGGATGCATTTGGCCCACTTCCCGCAAGAATGCGACTTTGCCTCGATCCTTCGTCGCCTGTCCTGTTTGTTGACGGTGTCATGCTGCTTTGGGAAGGCCGTTGGTTTCGGGTCAAGATGTTGGCTGAGTTACGACGCGAATCACGACGAGTTAAGTTGTCGATACGCCTGGGGTTCGAAGGTGGAGGAGTTTGTAGATTTGACAGCAATTCCAGCCCTGTGTTAATATTGGAGGATTGTCGCGGCCTTGTGAGTGGTCGGAAGGGGCTGTTCGGCATACGAGGAGGGGCCATACGGCGTGGAGATGTGCGAGGAGATGGGCCAAGGGCTGGCTCGGTAGGAGGGAGCTCTGCCAGTGATTCACTGTCGCTAAATTCTTCCTCTTCTTCCTCTTCTTGAAACGTGTTGATCTCTGACTGCGTCAGTTCCTTCAATGGATGACGATTAGTCTCAGAAGGGCTTGCCAAACTGTCCCCAAGTTGAGTGATCTCGGGCGTGGCGGTGTCGTCTGTTGCGATTACAATCGGCTTGTCTCGCAGAGGGCGAAAATAAGAACCGAAATCCTCAGAGCGACGGCCCAGTGTCAACGTCCTACGCCGAGAATGAGACTGCAGTTGCTCTTTAGGTGGAGAGGCTGCCCGACGAGGTATTACCTGCACAGGAACCAGCCCATCTGTGCCATCAACGTCGGTGGAATCACTGTCCCTCCGTGAAAGGTTGATACATAATTTTGTCCTCATCATCTGCTGTATTCTTTCGCTTTGATTAGTGTCGCTGATCACATTATTAATTTGGTGTTGTGTTTTGCTTGGTGAAGGAGAGCGGGCGAAAGCGCTAGGAATAATGCTCTTGCCGTCCCCAAACGCGCCACAATTTCCAACGAGCAGCCTTTCGAACTCGTCATTAAGGGGTTCAATAAGATCTTGGTCGGATGCTAAGGTTTCGTGCCCAAGCTTGCTCTGAACTCTTCCCTCGCCCCTGTTTGCTTTTGGGGCTTTCGAAGCTCCGGCCGCATGTGCAAGGGTATTCTCTGCTGGCATGTTTTTGTTTTGCATTCCTTTGTTGCCCGGGACCTTCTCAACGTATATGGCATCGCAGAGAGATTGAAAACAACTGATGACGGCTGGTTCGTTGTTAAATATCACCTCATCCTTCAGCTGCGACACATTGGGGTCGTATGAACCCGGTGGACATTGGATGCTGATTTGTAGAAAGGGGTTTGCAGGCGTTCGTGAACTGTCGGGCGAGCCAAGGATCTTAGAGATGCTCGACTTGAAGATAGACACCAGCTTTTTCCCGGTGCTCCTGGTAGATGAAATAGGCCGCGAGTCAACCGAGATGAAAGCCCCCTTGCCCTTTATGACTTGGACATCGCTGTCCGGTCGTGGTAGAAGTGCCGTAATCCTCAAAGTTCCTGGTTGCACCTCTGTTGAGCCACTTTCAGCGCTCGAGTCAGACGACACCGCGACAAGCTGAGCAGCAAGAGTGTGGCCAAAAATTTGAGTGATTGCCTCTTGCGTGTTCGATGGTGGGCAAGGAGAATAAGACCATAACTGGGTCGAAGGACTCGACACTTTGAATGAGATCTTAAGATAGGAAATTGCTATCACATAGCTTTCCAGGAGACGTTGGATCTCAATCAGAGATCTTCGGCTCGCCTTGATAGCATTCTGCCTGCGGACAGTGAATTTGTCAAATAAGTTTATAACTTGGACAGTGGTTCCGATGGTGCCAGATACTGGCTGCTTCTTGCTGACACCGCCCGTCTTTGCTTTCAATATTAGAAGTGATGCAATTGGATCTTGAGCAGTTCGAGTTGTGATCTTGATTGTAGCCGTTTCAGTAGCACTGGCGAGAGCCTCGCCACGAAAGCCTAGTGTTTTGCCGCCGTTTTGATGAAGTTCGTCAAAGTTTCGAATCTTGCTTGTATGAGACCGGCATCCTAGAAACTGGAAGTCCTCAATCTGTATTCCGCGGCCATTGTCTCGGACTTGTATCTTGTCGACAGTGTTGGGCGCAACTGTGATCTCGATGGAAGTGGCACCCGAGTCGATGCTGTTGTCGACGAGCTCTTTGACAACCGCAAGAGGATCAGGAAGCTGATGCGAAGATCTCAGGCTATGGGCCGAAGATGGCGGTAACTGAGATATTGACATTATGGCGGTGGAGATTTCTTGAAGATTGATTTGTGTGATAAGAGCTTCGGTGCCGTCCGTTTATGCTGTATTGAGACACGGCATCTGGTTGCCTGAGAGACTAACACGGATCATGGGTCATGGATCATGTGGATAATGCTGGTGGAGATGTATAAGAGGGAGCAATTAATGCAAATGGTGTTAGTGATGGAAGAAGATGGAAGAAAGAAATAGAGGTATTCTAAAGGGCAGTGATTCATCTTGTCTACATAACAAAATCAATTGCGTACTCACAAAGAAGGAGATTCCAAGTGCGTATGATGTTTCCTTCCTTATGTTAAGACAGTACTAGCACTAATGAACACGACACTGGGCACCTCAATCGCCAACGGGCAAGGGAGGAAAGTGCGATCAGGTACGTACCCCAACAGTCCCTGCATCTTGTCCCAACCTCAACTTAGCAGCTGTCCCCTGTGACGTGACCTAGAAACCCCGCTACGAGCCCCGCGTCCTTCCTCCGAACTCTCCAAGCTTTTGTTTTACCTCGAAACTAACTTAAACCATTTGTCTTTTGAATTTCCAGATCTCCCTCGAAAGCATCGCCTCAATTGCCGAAAGCTACAATTCTGTCGTATCTCGCCACGATGTCTCTCAAGGGTCCCTCTCCTCAGCACTTCGATGGCTCTGGTCTGCGCATCGGCATCGTCCACGCGCGCTGGAACTCGACTATCATTGATCCTCTTGTGACTGGAGCCAAGAATAAGCTCCTGGCAGCTGGCGTCAAGGAGTCTAACATTGTCGTTCAATCCTGCCCCGGCTCCTGGGAGCTCCCCATTGCTGTCCAGCGGTAGGTTTTCTTTCCATGTCTCTGCACGTAGAACAAGTTGCTAACGCATTGCTTTCCTCCAGCCTCTTCTCTGCTTCCCAGATCCAGGGCACCTCAACTGGCGGACCCTCAGCCGGCGACCTTCTGGCTTCGTCTACTACTGATCTCACTTCGCTCTCTACTTCCTCCGGCGCTTTCGATGCCATCATTGCTGTTGGTGTTTTGATTAAGGGCGAGACTATGCACTTTGAATACATTGCCGAGTCAACCTGTCAAGGCCTGATGCGCGTGCAGCTTGACATCGGTGTGCCTGTTATCCTTGGTGTCTTGACCGTACTGAATGATGACCAAGCAAAGGCTCGCGCCGGAATTGATGGCAAGGGTCACAACCACGGCGAGGACTGGGGTATGGCAGCTGTTGAGATGGGAGTCAAGAGAAAGGAGTGGTCCAACGGTACCATTGATGGTTAAAACAGCGATAGACACATAAATGAGAAACTACAATGCAAGCCAATGCATAGCCGATGATGTATGCTAGATACAGAGACATGACCATGGAGATAAGCGTTGTGATATAAAAGTGACCTCCCAATTAGTCAATTACCGGCATAAAGATTTATCTATCATGCGCTAGGCTCAAGTCCAACGGTGCCTATCATATCTTTCCCCACAGACGCCCTCGTGAAAAGCACACTTTCTAGAATATACAATTGTATGAGGCTCTCCAAACGAAGGTTGAGCTATCCCAACCTGTGGATATCCAGGCGCAAAAAATAAAAGCATATAAACTAATCTTAACCTCCATCTCTTTTGTAATAATTTCTCGACAATATTGACCTTTTAATTATATCCTTGTTCCAAATTCGCTTCCTAATCCTTTCTTTGACTTCCACATGCTGCGCTTCTTATCGCGCTTTGCCTTCATCGCCTCCCATCCCTCCTCATCATCATCGTCTGAACCATCGCCAGAAGTATTAACGATGTTGATAGTTGACTTTGTCTTGGGTTCATTCCAATGACCAAGCGCTCCAGACATGGTGCTGGTTCGTCGATGTGGCTCGGGAACAGCCGCGGCTGGCATTTGTGACACGGGTCGGTAGCGGCCAGGCAGACCAACGTTGCTTCGCTCAGAAGGGGCAATAGATGGGGTGTAGCCCATGGGCATGCCATGAATTGAGCCGGCGTAGCCACCAATTGGCGGCAAGAACGAGCTGCCTGAACTGGGTTGGACCATGCTCATAGTACGCATTCCAGCGTCCATGCGGCGAGGAGGCTCCAAAGTTGGCTCAAGCATCATCGAATGTCGCGATGAGAGGTCGTTCATAGACTGAGTGGCGGACATTCCGCCATAAGGAGGTTGCATCGGTGGCACCATGCCAGGTTGCTGCTGATTGTTGGAAGCCATCATCTGCATGAACTGCATCTGCATCTGCATGAACTGGGACATTTGCTGTGTCATCTGGAGCTGTGCTTGGTCCCCAACCGTGAGTTGCGGTGGCGGCATCATCTGCTGCTGTGACATGCCCATGCCGGGCATATTATACATACTGTTCATGGCGTTCATCATGGCTTGGGGGTTGTCGAATGGAGGGCCTTGTGGTGCGTTCATGCCGGGGACAAACTTCTGACCGTTGGGGTTGGGTCCACCACGTCGCATAGCCCTCGAACGTTCTTCGTTGGCGATCACACCAACCAAGCCACCGGGAGGCAGTGATTGCTGAGACTCGGAAGCAGGTAGACCGCCGCTGAAGGTCAGCGATTCACGCATGGCAGGCTTTGAGATACTGGCGCCCACAAAAGGGTCTTGAGGTAGGCCACGTGCGAAGGCGGGAAGCATCGAGTGGCGCTGGTTTTGGCTGCTCTCACCCATGGCTGAGCCAGGTCGTGGTGGCGCCAACTGTGTAGATGCTCGTAGGTTCGGGTTCGAGCCCATGGTACTTAGTCGGGCGGGTGGCCGGTTCTTGCTGGGGAAACCATGAGCTTGGAGAATGGCTAGAGGCACCTCCTCGTCATCATCCTCATCAGAAGTACCAGCTGGGAGTCCAGGGGATGGCGTCTTCATGAGGTGAAGCTGTGGAGCGCTCATCGAGCTTGCTAGGCCAGGCCGGTCATGTGGGTGCATATCAGGTTGCTCTCCAGTGACCTTCATCATCTGCTGTCGGTAGACTGCCATGTGAGCCTCCTGCTTTCTTCTTTGCTTCGCTTGCTGCTTAGACTTCTCCATCTCATCCTCATCGTCATCGTAGTTGATTTCATCGTCATCGTCGTTGGTGGTTGACTGCCGAACTCCATCGCTCGAGCCGTGATCCTCCTTATCCTTTCGGTACTTCTCAAACTGTGCTGGCGTCATAACCTTTGTGTTGCGCTGTGGGCTGGGGTTTCGCGTGTTGGGGCGGTTGGTGATGCGTGAGTTATGAGCCGAAGTTCCCTCGAAAAGGTTATCGTCGCCTCTGTTGAAGCTTGAGTTTAGAGGTTTCCTCTCAAAGGATGAGAAAGAGTCTTCGTTTCGTCGGTAGCGACCAGAAGGAGCGTTGGAGCTGCTAGACTCGGACAACAATCGTCCCACGGCAATCGAGTCCTGCAACAATTTCGCGTCCTCATCTTCAATGATATCGGACGGTCGGTTGGAGGTCTTGAAAGAACTCTGATGGCGCGGAACAGGAGGTGGTACATCATCGAGTTCAGGGGAGCCCGGCTGGGGGCCGAGTAGGCCATCGTCTTCGTTTCGGCCCCAAGACTCGGGGCCTGGCTCGACTTTGTTGATGCTTAGAGGGGGAGGTTGAATAGGTCGGTTGCTGGTGAGGGATCGAGGAGCGGCGGATCCGTCAGCTCTCATTGTAATGACGCTCGCCCTCTTATCGAACGACGAAAACATGGAACCAAAATCCCCTCCCATGTCCATACCATTGTTTTCCATCTCCAGCTGTGGCGGTGTAGCAGTGCTAGACGTGGATTCGGTCAGGCCTCGCGATCTTCCACCATAAGCATCCTGTTGAATGGTCGGGACGGGCGGGATATCGTTGTCGATCTTTGGGGGCGAAGCGTTGTGCTTTTTCTGAACGCCGAATGAAAAAGTTCGACCAGCTCGGTTCAGAAATCCGGACCCGCTCGACTTGACAGCGGCTCGTGGAGCAATGTCGTGTAGATTTTGGTTTTGGCTCTGCTTCTGATTCTTTTTCTGGGAGTGCTTGTGATCGTCGTGTGATTCGAGATTTGTTGAAGATGGAGCGGTCGAGGCATTACTGTGCCTTGAGGAGGTATCAGTTGATGTGGCTTTGGTCGTATTAGACGCCCCACTTCCCCTGAGAAGGTGTCAGCGCCTGGGTGCATGACTTATTTTTATCTTTTTTCCAGACCAGCCGACCCAACGGTAGCCGTGCAACACATTCCTTGGCGAGTCACACAGGAGAGAGCGGGGGGGATGTAATTAGAGAAAACTCACCTGTTGCCACTTTTGAGGTCTGCAAACATGTTATCCTCGTTGTCGAACTGATCCAGATGACTTGGCTTGGGAATGTAGCCCCCAGAAGCCCTGGCCATTCTGGCGCCGCCGTCAAATGACTTGCCGAGAGAAGGGTCTGATCGTTCAATAACTCGGAATGATGATTGACCCTCTGGTGGTGTCACTGGGCCATGCTGGAAATCCTCCGAGGTCGCGGTTGACTTCCGCCTGTTGAACGCAACACTGAATTTATGCATGTGGAAGAAGTTATGACAACGTGGGAATAATGATCCGTATTAGGTGCAACCCATGAAAGAGACTCGGAACAGTCCGAGTTCAAAGCGAGTTTGCTTGGGGTGTCTTTGATGAGAGTCGATAGACTTGGGGAGTGGATCCGTATGTATGGAATCGAAAGGAATATAAAACAAGGGTTCTGAGTCGAAGTCTCAGTGCGGTTGTTGACTAGCGAGGGTATTCAAGCCGAATCGATTCAAGGAAGAAAGATGCGTATAATAAATGCGGGTAACTGCATAATAGGATCGCAAGTCAGCCGAGGTTGTGAAACAAGAAATGCACTGAGGATCGTGGTCGTCGCAGTCGTTGGGCGCGTAAATAATTGGGTTTTGTACAGGGGAAAGAAGCAAGCGATAATAACAGCAGTGGGTATGAAAAGGTGCAAGATGAGGCGAGGTGACGGTGAAGCTTTATCGGAATGAAGAGTAGAGACAAGTTCCAGGTTGACGAAATGACAAGAGAGATAGAGAGAGAGACACGGGAAACCAGGTGGTTGGAGACCGGCATGTGCCATTTCAAGCAAGGGCAAAAGTAAAAAAAGAGTTGACTCACATTATGTATATGATCTCCAGTCCAGAAACGAAAGACGGTTTGGTTTGTATTATGAGTAAAAAGGTGGCTGGTGGAAGCCGGAACAAGACGATCGGGCAAAGGCGAGAGCGAAAGCGAAAGTATGTTATGTATGTATAGAATGAAGTTAAGATGGAGATGATCTCACGGCTTCGTCTTGCCTTTGCTTGGTCTTGAAGCAAAACAAGAAAAACTCTCTCTCTCTCAATAGGGCAACGACAGACAGACGACCAACGTCAATAACAGAAAAGCAATGGAAGAAGTAGGAAGCGGAGATGATTAAGTTAGGGAGAGGGGGGAAGAAAGAAGCGAGTGGTGGTGGTGAGGTTTGAACGGAAGAGAGAAAGAGAAAAAACGAGTCCAGGTCAGGTCCAGATCTAGGCAAGCAGGTAGGTCCTTACAGCCCAGCCCAGTCAGTTGGAGTGATGGATTGATGAGTGGCCCGACAGGTCATGGATCCATGTATGAAATGGATGGATGCTATGTTACTGTACAGAGTACCTAGCAGCAAGCCAAGCAAGAAGCACAAGCACAAGCAAAAAGCACAGGCACTGAATAAGGACTAGGAACTTAGTACCTCCCTACTAAAGTGCAAAAAGAGTATCTGTAAGGTTCAGGCGTTACACAAGCACACGCTCACACAGTGTACATGCACAGTCCTTCGTAATAGGCGGCGGCGGGTCCTCTTTCAACGCTTTTAGTTATAGAACCTCGTCGGGTCGTTAACGTTAACATGCGCACGGCCTCCGTCTCGATAGAGGAAAGTTCTCACAGGTGGTGAGTGAATCCGACATCGAAATCGATTCAAGAATCAATTAATTGATATTAGTACCTGAAATGGATCCAAAGCCTGATAGAGATGAGCAGAGAAATAATCAAAACCAAAATCAACAAACAGGGTGTTGAATAATAAAATAAATAAATAAAAACTGATGAGACGTGTCTGGGCAGTGAAGGTAGGTCGCTCAAAGGCAGGAACTTCTACAACCACACCAAGCCCCATAATTAAACCATAAACCATTAACTTCTCAGTTCGTAAGCCTGCAACTTTTTATTGCCCACAACTCAATGCCAACAACTCCTGCTAATATCGAATAGATCAGAAAAATCGGACCAAGGAAACATTTTACAAACATGAGAAAAGCCCCGATGATAAAGTATCTCCCCTCTTGGCTTATGATGAATGGCATTCAGCACCCCTGTAGGCCCATCGTCGCTCACAGGCGACATCCCGTATCGTATCTCTTGTTCCGACTACCACCTCACTAGCATGAGATGAGAGAACCTGAACGAACAATCCTTGTCTCTTGGACCGCCGTCACCGCTGAGGGTTGAACCCATGGCTGGCCACACTTCAAGGGCGAGTGCCAATGATACACATATCATGTCATGTTATGTTCAGCTGGCCTGTATTGTATGTATGTCGTCTGCAAATGCAGCCCAGGAGATCACAACAAAACAAAACAATCAAATGACACCGAATCAGGACTTTAATACTAACGTACGCACACCACGACCAACAGCGTCAATAAAACAGATGCTAGTCTCTAGATTTCCGAAACAATATTCCAAAGCCTTCATCTCCTGAGGGGAGTTGGAGCTGATATTGAGGCTGGACTACGGTCGTAGACTCATCTCCAATTTCCAAAGAGGTGTGGCAGGCCAAGCCAGGACGGGCAAAGCCGCCCAAAGGCTCAATAGTTCCGTTATTAATTATTTAGACCAGCTACCCAAAGCACAGCACTACGGAACGGCACCTACTCAATGTTGCAAAGTGCAGGACTCTAAAAACCCAATTACTTTAGGTCGGACGTGTGTGTAAAGGGGGAAATTGCGTGGCAACCAACAACCAAATAGTACACACTCCTCTGTTCAGTCGATAGCGTTGTTTCGTGCATCTGGAGTCGTTTGAATTATGTTTGTCAAAGCTCACAAGAATCCTTCAGCCTCGGGGCCTTTTATCACAAAACGATCTAAGCTCAAAGGTGCTAGGAGGTAGTTGGTGATGATCAACCACTTGTTTCATAGGTTCATTTTCCACTTTCATGGAAAATCCTGTAATGTTCTCTCTGTTGTGCGTACCCTTAGAAATGACATGGAAAACAAGGGGGTGAAGACGTCAACACCAAGGATCGATGCAAAATACGAACGGCATGTCCATGATCTGCGCTCATGGCCAAGGCTTAGTTATTTTTGTAATTGATGGAGGAATGATACAGGATTAATTGGCCACATATAGACATTGCTGAGACGAAAGTGGAGGAGGGTTTTACTGTGGTTCACGGTTCAATATTGTCTTTCACAAACAGACATAGACACACAGACAGAATGGTATCAGAATACGGACAGTGAATCCACTGATCCGTGCCAAATCCCTTGGTGTTTCCCAACTATGGATTTAGAGTCAAGGCATTGGTCTATTAATCTCCCTGACGATATACGCACAGTACAACAGGCCTGTCCAGTGTCTAGACTAGAGAGAAATACTGGAGTTCTTGTGGAGATAAGGGTTCAATGATGCTCGACTTGCTTGGCATGTATTGATCGCAAGTCAATGCCCACTCAGGCTTGTTTTTCATCACGTTAAAGTTGATGCTTGTATGTACTATTACTATCACAACAACCTTACCTTACCTATACTGCCCGGGTTCATCGGATATTGGTTCTCAAAGAGAGCAGGACAAAGTTGTTATAGTTGGAGGGTTAATTATTGGCTGGATCGGTTGCGCCGCTCCCGCTGTGACCCTTCCATTCACAACTCCTAACCCCTGTACTTTTGGGCTTGTCACGGGCTGGGGGTTGCGGGCACAGGTGCACCTCAGGCACAGCACAGCCCACATGGGGAGGGTCGTCTCCACTATGATCCACGGCAGCCGAACAACTGAACAACTGACCCTCAGTAGGTTCCTTGCGACGGGAGGTTGTTCTCCACTGAGATGAAGAAGTTCCATTTAGACCTGGGCTCTTTGGTCAACAAGTTTTTACTTTTATTTATATCATACCTGAATATATAAGTATACACGTATAACATGACATGGAAGACAAGGAGACAAAAGCCCTGGCCCTGGTTAATCACCATTTTCTCGATCTCTCTTCCCTCCTTCCTACTGACGTCGTTGATCTACAGGATGAGCTGGGAGTCGACGATCTTGATACCAAAACTCAGGCTTCACGACATGTGGATATGTAGGTATTCTGGATGCTCTACATCCAAAACTTGGTCAAGAACCCGGAATCCCAGATCAATAGCAAAAAAGATGAATGGTATTAATTGATCAATTAATTAAGCTGCCCAAGTCAATTGTGCTGCCGCACTGTGTCTTATTGTATGTAACCTAATCGAGTGCTAGCCGGACTTCATCGTCACAGAAACTCAGGCCTGATCGGGTCAAGTTCAGGTACGCGTCTGGTTTGAATGAAAATCATCGACACTTTGGAAAAAAACTTAGATTTACTAATGGCCCTATTTTTCTTGTTTTCTCATCGCCTCTAGCTGTGGGAGTGAGTGGATCAAGATTGGTCTCTTTTTTAGATCAAAGCTTGGCCAAGCTTCTTCTTAGGGGCTCAACCTGTGGAGAGAGAGAAAAGACGACGACATGCGTGGTAGTAGGGGAGAATGGAGATGAGCAGTGTTTTGAAGTTATTTCCGCATTGTTTTCTTGTCTTTACTCAAAAACCTTGGACAAAGGTAAAGTAAGCTCGTGTACTGTACGAGCAATGAGCATCTGTTGTGGAACATGGCCACGACAGCTTTCTTCTCCTGTTGATGTATCGACCGACGGATACGGACAGGGGCAGGGACAGCTATCCGGATTCTATCTTGGAACGGAACAACAACTTGGTTACAAATGGTTGAACCCGGGGAATAGAGATGACCACTTTTGCTATAGAACAAGTGGCTGAGTGCCAGGTGCAGGCTGACAGGTTATCAACATCGTGCAAACGTTTATATGGACATCCATCCAATCCAATCCAATTCTAGAGAACAAGAATTGATAGCTGATTATGATACGGTAGCCACAGTTGCAGCTGAGGGCTGGGCTACTTCTCGTCTCACGTCAGTTGCCCACAAAAATAAATCAACTTGATGATAGCGTTGGGGTTGAAGCTTTATTAGTTACGTGGTGGGCTGAGTTACAGTTTCTATTGTTATTCTCATCCAAGAGAGAGAGAGAGCCTCGCCCACATGATAAATCACCCGATCCAACACCAAGACAAAGCTTGTTTTCTTCCATGGAACTTCCCTGCAACTCTTGGTATGGAGTAGACGTTGAATTCTCCACTGGGTCGGGGACCGTACTAAGGATTTGCGACTCTTTTCTGTATCGTTCGTGTTGTTATTGCCATTGCTAATATTTAAGCGCGTCTGAGACATGGTAAGCAAGACAAGGCGATCGATCAACCCGGTACATAGCCTAATGGCTGTCGTCTCTCTTTTTCTTTTTTTCCATCACCCGTGGAACCGTATCAGGGATAAATGACTCTTCATCACTTGAGCCTTTCGTCATAACCGCTCATCTTCATTTTGTTTAAAACCCAAGTACCAAGGTCATCTAGATGAATGATGATGCCGATGGGTTGTGAAAACTAGGGCATCAGCCAAGGCAGAGAGAATGAGTATGTACATACGACTCCACTCGTGTGCTTTGTTGAGAAATGCTTTTTGTCTCTCATGAAATTTATGCTCTCCGCGGTTGTCAAGCAAAGTCTTCCGTTTGGCTGGCTTTAGCTCCAACAACGATAAACACGGGGCGGCTTAACTTGGACGATGCATGCACGTCAACAAGTCTCAAGACACACGCACGGGTTGAATTGCGTGGCCTGGTGGATCTGGGATTAGCTCCTCCTCGATCTATCCCCGATACGCTAACCTCCCCCCCTCCTTTGAAGCACCAACTTGACGACAGGTTAAAGTTACTTGGTAGAATTCAAAGACGCTATGCGCGCCGCACAGTGTGTGCGAGAGATATGCAGTATGCATATGGAAGGGACGGTTGGGCAATTTCAACTCTATCACCACGCGTCGACTACTTCACTTGTCTCTTGAAATAGCAAGACAATTAGCGGCATTCCAGACCAGGCGTTGATCGACGAATATGTGGCAGCCTCGTCCGTGCTCTGATTCGAATTTGGTGTTGGTGAGGAGGGCATGTGAAAGTCAATCAGAGAAGGGCCAAGCCACAACTCAGCCAACCTCCGCTTATCGTGATATCGATCAACGTGTTGTAATCCCAGTCGTTGCAAGCAGATCTGCCTGCAAACAAACATCAAAAGATGTGTTTCATGTGATTGCCTGTTGGATTCTACTGACTGATAAGCGTGCATCTGCAGAGTAATCATAGAGTCATCACCAACGGTTCTTGCGCATTCCTTTATGCACATTTGGATGTTTGGTCTGTGTGGACACGATGTAGGCTGTGATGCGGCCATGATGATGGTCGTATTGGCAATCGTATCTTGGTTCGCAGTGGCTATTGACGGATACGCCGTTCCCGCAATAGTGTCTGTCGCAGTCAATCAATCAATTGACCACGTTCCATGTATTATTCTCCATGCTGATGTCAAGACCAGCCTCGTCAATTGACATTGGTGAGGTTGACGAATAGTCTATGCAGCACTCAGTCACCGCATACGTGACTGGAATGCATCTCGTATAAGTAGGCAGGCAGGTTTGTTAGACCAGTGACGAGCTATTACCAATCGGTCATTAAAGGAGAACAGTCTGGTTGCAAAAGCGTTTGATAGTCACAATAAGCATACAAATAAGGTATTCACGGCACTTGTCAATGGTGTTGATGAGGGTCTGGCTGGCCTTGACCCCATCTTCTCTGCAACCAGGGGCAATGCAACAGCCCCTGTAATTGTCCCGTCCCATCGAAACCTCAGCACAGCCAGACCAAGATCCAATCAAAGTTTCATGATGCCTCACTGCCTCGCCTCGTTCGTTCATCGGATGGAGCATTTCCAGTGGCTAAAGGTTTCGAGTTTGGAGTTTTATAGTGGAGGCTTGCCGCCGAGGGAGCTCCGTCCTACCCAGGCAGGAAGGAGGTGACTAGGAGGTCATGTTGCCTTGCCTTCCACGGAGATCATGAGCTCCGCTGACTAAGGCGACTGTCCACTTATTGGGACGTAGATCCATATTGGCAAGACCAACATGAGAAACAATTGAATTCATCTATAATGTAGATATCAGCATTCGTTTATATTACCATTTACAAAAGGAAGAACATCTTTGATCCTTAGTATAAAACACTCACACAAACTCTTCACTACTTCGAAACTCCCACTTGCGCACGAATTGCATCGGTCGCTCACTCTTCTCTACTTCAAGGATCATCGGCAGCACAACATTAAAACAACCGAAAAAAGGTTACAATGACCCATCAAGGGGATCTCACTAGACCTTCTCTGGACTCAAGGGACCCTTAAATCAGAGAGGCCAAGGCCAAATCTGCCAGGGTAGCACTTCTTTGCAGCGGAGCAGCAAGCATGTTGGCGGATAGCTTCGACGAGCTGAATCTAATCAATCTCAATTGCTCTTTGTCTCCGTTTCCGAACCTCCGAAATCTACTTTTTTTTTTTGCTTCGTCTGCCTCGGTCTGTTCGGCCAATTCTTTGAAACCTTTTTTTTTTGTTTACTTTATATGTCAATCCCTTCTTTTTCTAATTCCTCTCACATCTATCTATTCAGTGTTTTAAGGGTCCTGTTTGAGCATCAGGTCGGAGACGCGGAGAAACGTTTCAACTAGGTGCCTTGAGGTGCCATCGGATAGTCGCATTTGTTTCTACTTTCAACTTTAACGCTCTAGATAACCCCAGGGAATCTCAAACCTGACTCGCTATACGTTTTATCCTATTTTCTCGGCGATATATATTGTGCCTCCGCGACCAATTTCTCGCAGCTCTCTTGCAAGTCGCTGCGAACAACAGCGACAACCCTTTTTACGACAATGAGTTCTCCAACTACCCCTTCAAAGCATGGCAATCATGCCCAGTTCCGTCGCCCTTCGTTCCTATCCAACGATGATAGCCACAATCCCCTCGGCACGCGCAGTGGCCATCTCCAGTCACTAATCCGCAGTCGCTCCCAACAGAGCATGCATAGCCTCAGCGGCTCCCTCCCTGGGCATTCTGCTGCTTTCTGGATGGGCGACGATGAGGAGGCTGGATTGATCCGCCACGACAACGACGAGCTTGGTAGACTGCTTGCCGATGAGCGCCGACTAACCCAACTGCTTCACGGTCCCCAGAACCGCAGCGCCAAGCTAATTGGCCGAAGTAACCCTCGATACCGCTGGGAGCAGTACTGGAGACCAGAGGAAGAGTTGGTTTCTATGCCTAAGCATCTGTAAGTCCAAGATCGAAGACGCGCCATTGCGCACAGATCAAGCTAACCAAACCCAACAGGCGCGAGTACTATGAGAGAACAAACGATTTGATTCAGCAATACTTGTACATCGATGCTCTTCTCGACTCGGCGATCCCCCATGATCTTCTTAACGAGTACCAGGCAGAGCTCGATGCATCTGCTTTCCGACCAGTTGATGTACCGGATACTATCAACGAGGAGCCCTCGACCAGCACGTCCGAGACCTCTCCTCTCAATAACTCGACTCCTGCGTCCATCACACCGGGATCATATGGCGCCATCAGCGTCAAGCACAGCAACTCTTCCACCAAACTTCCTGCTGCTCGCACTCCTCAGGACATCTTCCGATCTTCTGAGAACCTGCCTCTGCTTCAGCACCAGGATCACGATGATAATGTAGAGAACGAGGCACAGCCCTCGCGACCTGCTAGCAAGGACGACGACAGCGGCCCCAAACCTTTGTTGCCATGGCTGGAAGATGCCGAAATTGATAGTGATGATCCTATCGTTACTCTGGCTATCTGGGTCAACTTCATTGCCAATGCTGTTCTCCTTGCCGGAAAACTTGTCGTTATCATGTCTGTCCCATCCATGTCGGTTCTTGCCAGTCTGGTCGATGCTGTGCTAGACTTTCTCAGCACTGTTATTGTATGGATAACCACGCGTCTCATCTCTTCCAGCCATCACGACCAGTACAGTTATCCTGTCGGCCGCCGCAAGTAAGTTGGACAGTTTCTGCCGAGCGCAGACGCGAAGTAAACTAACAGTATTACAGGCTCGAACCTCTTGGTGTTCTTGTCTTCTCTATCATCATGATCACATCTTTCTGTCAGGTCGGGCTCGAATGTATTCAGCGCCTCATGAGCCCCGAGCACCCTATTCTCGAATTGGGCGTTCCTGCTATCGCGATCATGGTTTCTACCATTGTCATCAAGGGTGCCTGCTGGGTCTGGTGCCGTCTCGTTAAGAATTCGAGTGTTCAAGCACTGTAAGTTTGGCTTCAGCTTTCTCGTTTACAAAAGATATCTAATCAAATTATAGAGCCGAAGATGCAAAGACAGATGTTATTTTTAACACAGGCTCTATCCTGTTCCCTATTAGTAAGTGTTGACATATACAGTGACAACCGAACCCGCACTAACCCTTGTTTTCTTGCCTCTAGTCGGTTTCTACGGACGAATCTGGTGGCTCGACGCCGTTGGAGGCCTGCTTCTCTCCATGGTGGTCATCTTGAATTGGAGCCAAACGTCGGCGCACCACGTTCGCAACCTCTCGGGTTTCTCAGCTCAGCCTGATGAGCGTAATCTCCTGTTGTACCTGACAATGCGCTTCGCCACAGCCATTCGCCAGATCCAGAACTTGCGCGCATATCACGCCGGTGACAAGTTGTTTGTTGAGGTCGATATCGTGCTCTCTGCTGCGACACCACTCAAGGATAGTCACGATCTTAGCGAAGTGCTCACCTACTTCCTTGAGTCTGTGCCCATTGTCGACAGAGCTTTTGTTCATGTCGACTATACTAGCTATAACGCCCCGACTCATATGCTCAAGGGGTCCGCTGCAAAGCCGAAATAAAGTTGTGCTGGGGATCAGCTGCAAACAGAGATCATGGGGTTAACTTCCTGCTTCGAGCGAGAACGAGAAGGGACTCGTTTTTCAGTCTTGCCGGCCAGACCCTTGGAGATTTGAAAAGTCTAACATAACCCTGCAGGTCAACCATGGTAAGATCTTTGATTGCGTCGGATACGGGAAGAACTGGATGTACAATATATATTATCAAAAATGCTTGGCTAAGCTAATTACTATAGAATCACGGATGCAGATATTGGTCTGCAACCGCTCATCCTGGAAGAGCAGGGCGGAGTCCTGCGCAGGCGTCAGAAAACAATGAAATTTAAAACTTCCAGCCCTTGGTTAAAGCCTCCTCTTGTGCCTCCTCTAATAAGGAATGCCGTTTGTCAGCAGCTGGAACTGGTCATAGATACCCGTGCTGTGGCTCGAGTAACTGGTCTTGATAAGATGCTTCATGAAGTTGGCGGCATCACGCTCACTTTTGTCCAGAACGAAGCGCTCGCGGAAGTGCTTGACACTCTCTGGCTTGAAGCAGGGCAAGCCGCTGTCCATCATGAGCGAGACGACCTGGCTCAGCTTCTCGCAGTACTGACGACTAGCAAGGAATGCCTTCACGCAGAGCTCCTCGAAAGCTTTAAAACTCTGATGCTCCATTGAACCGCCCATAACAGCAACCATCTCAGTTGTGAGCTTGAAAGGCGCGCGCTCGAACTTGATGCCTCCGGGAGCGATATCGAAACAGAAGCCAAAGTCAATGTGGAGGATGTGGCCGGCGTCATCGATCATTATGTTGCCGTTATGTCGATCCTTGAATTGCAGTAGGTAGGAGATGACTGAGTACGCAGCCATGGACTTGACAAAGTTGCTGCGAGCACGCTGGAATCGAAGCGAGTTCTCGTTGCCGTACTTGGAGATGAAATAGTCGTATAGACCGTTGACGGCTTCACGGCCGAGCATATCTCGCGAAATCGAGTTGGGTAGTACGTCAATGACACCGCAGCCAGGAGCTGTGGCAGTGACTCTGTAAGGGAAGACATAGACATCAAGGCCGACGTCATGGAAGATGCCTCGGAATGCAGCAATCATCTGCAATGCCAGCACATCCTGCCGACAATCATCACCAACCTTGAAAATGGCCGACTGCCAGACCTCGACCGTCTTCTCGGGAGTTCCGTGATCCCCTCCATCCTTCTCATCCATCATCTCGTCCACCTCAGACACGCCGCCCTTGCTCTTCTGGATGCGGAATGTCGCCATGTACGGCGCTTTTGCGTGACTCTGCAGAGGTTTCCCGGACTTACGATCAATGCCAATGACGACGCCATCAGGGTTACTAGGAAGGTAGACGCCGACCTCGACCTTGATTTTGCGCAGCTCCTCTTCAATCTTTTGCTTCTTCTCTGGCTTGCTCTTCTTGATGAAGGGCTTGAGCTTGCCGGAAATATCTGTGACTTCGTCAAAGAAGGCAAATTCTCTCTCGTAGAAATCACGGTCTTCGGGCGCAAAACCGTCAACCATCTGTGTCATAACCGTATCAAGGGTTGGCTTGATTTCGTCAGGGATCTGAGCATCATCGTCCTTGTACGAGTTGGCCTTCATGTTCCAAATAATCTGATGAGCAAACAGCTGAGAAAACTGGGCCGTTTCCAAAATGTATCGCTTCACGTATCCAAGGCTGTCGTAACGGAGAGACTGGACAATCTGGGGAACGTAGAAGAAGGTCACATCCACAGAATGGCTCTCGAGCGCACGCATAGCGTATTGGATGACGAAGGGATGGTACTGATAGGCTGGCAGGAACATGGTGACGGCTGTTACGGGGTTCACAGCCTCCCAGTACAACAAATACTATCGAATATTAGCGTTGCACATATCAATCAATACACACAGAATATACCTTCAGTTGCTGGGACCCAACGTCATCGGGAAGAAATCCGCCAAAGATCAGGTTCAAAGCCTCAGGCTCAAAGATAGCCTTTTCGGGCATGGTAAGAAGCAAGAACCTGATATCGCGTTGTAGACGAGGGAAGGGGAATCGGGTCGCCAACTCAATGGCGATGGCAGGATCCTGCCACCAAGCAGTGCGTATAAGCGGTAAGAGGGCGGCTTCAGTTGGTGCCTTGCCTGCCGGTTGAGTCAAAGCCTGGTTACTGGGGTTGTTGAGCGGGTTGACCCAGACAATTAAACGAGTTTGTTCGTTTCTAAGCATAAGGTCGAGGAGCTGCTCCTTCGACTGCAGGGACTTGACATTGCCAACAGTCTGAGCGCCAATAAAGGAGACGAGCTGCAAAGCTGCGAGCACGTCAGAAATAAGACGAATCTCTGTCTTCATCTGTAGGAGGTTGCCTCCAAAAGACCACTTGGGCGCTGACCTGAACCAAGACAGGCCAGCCGTGAGAATCCTTTCCTTGAGCCTCCATTGTGCCGCAGGCTTAAGAGTGGTGCTAGATTTTAAGACACGCAGACCAAACAGAATGAGCTGGAACCGAATTTCTCGGGCCATAGGATGGGTTGCAGATTGCTTCATCGCTTCGAGCGTAAGGTCCAACATGCGGAGGAACACTCTCTGGATATCAGGGCTGCCAAGCCTGGTAGCGTTGTAGTGGCTGACAAAGAACTGTAGCAGTCGAGTATGGGGGGAAAGAATGTCATGCACAATCTGCTTCTTCTTAGCTAGTGCTTCCAGCTCGCTAGGAGCAAACTCCTCCTTCAAGAAGAATGGGTCGACGTGGTGCAAAGTTGGGCTGAAAAGGCCGACCTTTCGACCAAGGGTGAACTCCCATTGCTGGACAATTTCGTTTAGTAGCCTTGACTCCTGTCTCGGGTTCTCATTGATCACGCCAAGCCACAGAGAAACACCAAGATTTATAGACTGTTTGGTGAAGAGAGCAAACGGAATGCTCACGAGATGATGAGCCACGGCGGCTTCGTCTTTGTCTGTACGGCAAAGAAGAGCTGCTGCTCTGCGGAGTATGTCGCGAACCTCGGTAGTAGATGTATTTTTCTTGCTAAGAATTCTAGCCTCAATGTGAGCCAATGCAGTAGTGGCACTAGCACTCTCTTTCACGGATGACTGCGCAAATGACATGCGACGATTGTGATTCATGAAGCTCATAAGTTCTGTGCCACGGTCTGGAAGTGTCTCGCCATACCGATACTCTTGGCGAGTTGTATACTGCGCGACAAAAGCAGATGCTGTGTTGACGCCCGAGTTACCGATTTTATCCATAGATTGCAGGCGATTGTCCGTTGAAGGAATAGTTGATCCGAGTTCGAGGGCGAACGACCTTCCCAGAGAAACATGACCATAGGCTCCCTCGTCGCTGAATTCAGAGAGATAAGTCTGCAAAATCCCCTTAACATCGAGAGGAGAAATGTTGATGGCGGCATTGACCCATGCCCTCGCCTTGCGGTTGAGAATGTCTACCGTCCATCTTCGGAAGTCGTAGTCGTCTGAAAGCTCCACAGTCACGCCACCGAGTTCTGATGTAAATGTTGATCGGGGAGCGTAAACATCTGTCTCTGCTTCCAGACAGCTAGACCACATGAGAGAGAGCAACTCTATCAAGGCAAAGAGTGATGACCTGTGACAAAGGGCTGAGGGTATATCACGAAGGATACGGTCCGCACAGACAAAAGCAGCCTGCTGAACTCGCTCGATACGATGACAACAGCTGCAGAAAATGGAAGCAAGCTGTTCAGCGGCATATTGGGCAGAAAAGGTAGGATCCATGCCACTTTGAGTCTTCTGGATATACTTATCCATGACAGCAGCAGCAACACCCTCCATGGCACTGCTAACATCACCCTTGGCCATGCTCGGTTCCAGGAAATAAGACAAGACTTTAGTGCAGTCACCCGAATCGGCTCGGAGGATTTCCATGAGGTAAGCAGCCTGCAGGAATATTACCTTGCGGTAGCTGAGGCTCCTGATTTCGTTGGCCTTGGAAGGTACGAGTTCGCTGAGGAGTTTCTTCTGCAAAGACTCCCTATCATTGCTCATACCTCGTCGAAGAACGGTGTTGAGTTCAATATCACTTTCGACCTGTTCGCCTCGCTGCTCGGCCACCAGAGGTGGTGAGTGGATCGCAATCATACGCAACTCCCTCAAGTATTGCTTTCCACGGTCTGTGTTGGTAGCAAAGCCATGCACAACGATGTTGAACCAAGCATCTCTGAGGAGAGAATAGGTTTCGTCGTCAGTAATGGGGTTGGAAGCGAAATCGTTGCTGGACATGAAAATTGCCAGTGGGTGCAAGAGCTCAGCAATTTCCTTGGCAGCCATTTGCACATCAGATTCCTTAGTATGGCCAGAAGAGTGGACATCACCAAGTCCAATGATGTCGTCAAGCAAGTACTCGAAGTAGATATCGAACAGCTGCGAATCGCGTTGCAGATTGGCCGATATGAAAGTACGAGCATTTTTCACCTGCAGTGGCCAGTCAGTACACAGGTCAACATAGTAGGGGGGTTAAGCATACGGCTTCAAGCAGGAATAACTGGTTCTCGACAACTCCAGTATGGCACAGTTTGCTGAACAACTTGAGCAACGATCGGAACTCAAGCTGGCCGCCTTCTAGGGCTAGAGCAGCTGCACCGCTGATGATTCGAGCATCTACACCTGTGTTGACTTTCTCAAGCTTTTGTTGCAGCATCGATTGAGCCAAAGCAGTGATCTTCTCATCCTTGAAAGCGGCAGCAATTCCACAAATAGTTTGCACAACGTTGCCAGAGACAATTGCGGTTTCTTCCTCGCCATACAACTGAAGGGAGATGGAACTCCCCATAGACTGGCGCCTGGCGTAAATAGGGTTCAGCCCTGTTTCACTTGCTGTACCGTCAATCTGGTCGTTCGCAAATCCCTGGTCTGATCCAGGGCTGAGAACGTTGCCCAGAGTGTAGAGTGTGCCAATGACTGCATCTTTGGAGAGCATTTTGAGAGCATACGCAAGGCTGTTGGAAGCTATTGTAACAATACTCTTCTGAGGTGCATCCTGCACAAT